GGGCGGGAGGAGGCTGGGAGCCCCCTGGGCTGGGGAAGGTGTCCCTGCCTGTGGCAGGGGGTGGGGCGGGGGGGCTTTGGGGTCCCTCCCAACCCAAACTGTTCCATGACCCTAAGGTCCCTGTACACCTTCATTTTAACAGCCCAGGGGGGTTGATGAATGCTGATTTCTTGGTCCGATCTACCCAGTGACAGTAAGTTTTACAGCTTATCCCACAATAAGTACAAGTATTTCCTTGTAGGTTTTGCCTCTCCATTTACTTCTCAGTCTTTGCTGGTTATGGCACAGCCCATACTGGGAAGAGACTGACCACGTGATCTGACTTCCCACAGAATACAGCCCAGAGGATTTCAACTCATCCCTTACTTCACACAGATAATGGCTCACAAATACATCCACCGTGGATTTAAAATTTCCCAGTGAGAGGTTATTTTGTGCCAGGGAAGAACCTCTCATTGCAATATGTGCTCAAAGTGTAAACTGGATTTGCCTAACTCCCATTTCCAGATGTTGCAGTTTGGCACCGCTTTGTCCTCCAGCATGATTCTGATCCTGGCGCACGTACAGTTGTCCCCAGACGGACATTCCCCTCCCTCTCCGTATGCGGATGGTCTCCAGCTGCTCAGCCCACCCAGTGCTCGGCTTGTGAAGTCGATTCCAAGAGGTGACGGCTTTAGCAGGGAAGTCCAGCCTTCCCTAAGGAAAGCTAAATCCATCCCTGAGGGTTCAGAGGAGTTCAGAATGACAAACCCTTTCTTCCATCCCTGCTCTGACCATCCATACACCCTCTTGTCCACCCAAGAACACGAACTCTCCCTTCTCTTGGTACCCTACCCTTCCTGGGTGCAATGCCGGCTGTGGGCCTGACATACCACGGCTCCTCTGAGCTCAGCTCTGTTCTCTCCATCCCCTCCTACCTGTCCTGTCCTGAAGTCTGCTCCATTTCCTGCTGCCCACTCCCCCAACACTCCCACTCTGGCCTTATCCCTCTCTCCAGCTGGACACGGCACCTTGCAGCAGCAACAGCCCAACGCTGCTGTTCAGAGGCGTCGGGGTTGACGTCCCCAGTGAAGTCCACCCCCCCACAGGACAATCTCTACACCCTGGCCAGCCCACAGAAGTGCAGGTAAGTCATACGTCATCCAGGAGCTTCCCCTCCACTCGCAGCTCCCAGGAGGCAATGCTGCCATCGGAGTCGTCAGCATCAGATTTTGCAGGATTGAATGTGTTGGAGATGTAAAGCCTCAGTTTCCGCTTTTGCTGTTACACAAACAGAGAAAAGGAAAGCACGTGCCCAGGTTAGGCCCGAGACCCAAGGAAGCCATGGGAGAGGTGACAGTTACACACTTAGTAACTCTGCGTGTTTAGCACAGTTGCACCAGGTTACACTAGAAGTCAAGATTTGGTCATGTCCACGAAAACACATGGAGGAGCTGAGTGGGAACCTCCTTCCGGCACTGCTGGCCAGCAGCACGCCAGCTCCGTGGCAAGGGAGACAGAGTGGAGGGCGCACCGTCCTGCACTCCTAGAGTGGATATCCCAGAAATCACTGTAAGAAAAGCAGGATCTGATGCCCTTCCCCTCCAGACGCAGGCTGGATTGCTGAGACCAGCCACAAACCTCTGGCTACATGATGCCTGTCAGAGCTGCAGCAGTTCTGCTCCGTAAGCGGCAGCCAAACCCAGCTCGTGCTGGGAGTCACGCCGGGCGCACCTCTGCGCCGTCACCGCGCACCACACACAGCCTGCTCACCCCCCAGGTACCCCCGCTGCTGCCTGACCTTCAGCAAACAGGCTGCAGCTCCCGCTTGCTGTGAGCCCGGAGTGGAGGACAGCGCGGTGCTTCATCCCTCGCCAGGCGCTCAGCTCCACGAGAGACAGCGTCACGCCGGCCACGCTCCGCTCCGCAGCCTGCCCAAGGCGGCCCCAGGACAAACCTCCGGCCACAGCTGCGGCTGAAGTTCCCTCGTGAACTCTGGGCAGGACAGGATCCCTGCGGGACACTCCAGGGAAGCTGGGATTTCAGGCTAACGAACGGAGTTATCGGCAGAGCGTCTGCTGCTGGGCGGGTGGAGGGAGCCTGGCTGCCGGCCCCTCCAGCAGCTCCGTGCTGAGCACTCCCTGTGCGCAGTTACGGAGCGATCCCCATGGACCGCGGCACCACAGCCTCGCGTGGAACGCTCAGGAGAGGTTGAAACCTGCGCTGCTGTCTCTGCAGACAGAGGAACTGTTCCGTGTTCTCGCAGAAACTTGGTGGGAAGGAAGAATAACAGTGCAAAGCAAAGCAGCAGGGAGACAGGAAATGGGGAGACGGAGAACGAGCACTGGTAACGAGTGTGCAGTCGGAGCGTTACGGAAGAAGCCAATGGAGCAGAGGGTCTGTGTCAGAGCTGGGATGCAGAGGCATCGCTGCCCCAGGGCAGTGGCAAGGAGGTGTCAGAAGGTGCAGAAGAAACCTCAGTCAGGTAACTCATGACAACGGGAGATGGACAAGAGCTTGGAAATGGCCAACCCAAGGCAGGGAAATGTGGAGAACACGCAAGTGCCAGCAGGAGCCACCCAAGGCTGACCGAGTTCAACACTGACCACGTGGACACCACCCACAGCCAGTTCTCTAAAAACCTCAGCAACAGAAACCCTAACAACCTCAGCAACAGAAACTCTCCCAGAAGTCAATGGGATGTTTCAGAGTGTGAAGATGGAGACTGGCCCACACAACAGTCCGTCAAGCCGGCCAGAGCAGCTTGTTGGTCGCTGTGCACTGTATCCTCCCAGGGAGAACGGAGCTGTAACCTGCGGGTGGGAAGAGCCCGGGCGCCCTGATCTGCACGGTGACAGGGAGGACTGGAGTTCCGACCTAGGAAAAGAAACCTTTAAAGAACCTCAGAGACATTTATAATAGGGGCTGACCTAAAGAAGGAGGTGGGTGTCCATGTTCTCCGCACCCCACGATGCAAAAAGCAGACGCTATAAAGTTATGTCACAAAGCCGTCAATTCCAGCTTTTCCAAGGGAAAAGGATGTGGCATGTGCTGCACAGAGCCCAGGGAGCCACGGCCGTCCCCAGACCTCGCTCACGACGCTGACGGGGAACCTGCAGCTTTTCAAGCCAGAAGAGTCTCTACTGTCCAGTTCCATGCCCTGCGCGGCACAGGCTGTAACCACGGGAAGGGGCTGCCCGGGTGGGGGGTCACCATCCCAGGGGGGTTTAGGAGCCGTGTGGACCAGGTGCTTAGGGACACGGGTTAGTGAGGGCTGGGCCGTGCTGGGTAAGGGCTGGACGTGCAGTGACCGGGCCCTGGGGTCACTGAGGTGGCTGCCATGGCCAGCCCAGGTCTCTGGGTCCTGTCGTGCTGTTCAGAACCCAGGAAGATACAAGTTCAAAAATGAAATCTGTGCTTCCTCCCTGATGCGGAGACGTCTGCAGCAGCCCAACAGCTTCCCTGTCACTACTGGAATTCTGCTCACTGACCCACTCAGACCTTTTCCCTGTCACACGATGTACAGCCTGTTGTTATCACAATCACAACCCTCATCTTTAATGCCACCTCAAACCAACTGACAGCTATTTCGGAGCAGAAATTCCTCGCACTGAGCCAGCACCGAGACCAGCGTGACAGTCACGGAGAAAGGAGCGACTGCCCATGTGCCGCAGACCTCAGCGTGAGAGGGAGCTCCACAGCAGCTGAAGAGTGACAGAGCTGCCACTGCTCCCAGTTACAATCCCCCCTTTCTCCAAAACACCCCTGAGAAGGAACAAAATCCTTTGCTCAAGGAAAACGCCACCTACTGCACTTGCTGAGTGACCTGAGCATTCCCAGAGCTCAGCGACAGCTGGGTCAGAGTGGGACACAAACGACCTGTTCCCCTGCCCCCAGGCAAGTCCCTGGGACGGTCGGGGTTTGGAACGCGGTTCATGGAAGAGGTGGGAGTCTCTCAGCACACCTGAGCTGGCACACCCCGTCCTGCCCGAGAGGGAGAAGGGTCCCGCAGCCACCGCCATGTTCAGGCAAGAGTGCAACTCCCTTCTGCCAACAACCCGACAGCAATTCCTCACCCCTCTTAACACCTGGAAGTGGGGAAATGTCCATTCATAAAACCCAGGGGCACAGCATTCAGACACCACTACTCTGTTTCGAACCTAAACACGGAGAGGCTGGGAGCAGGTTGTTTAGTTTGAGAAGCTGCAACTCCACGCAGGTCAGGTGGAGTCTGGGCTCCACTCCAGTCACTGGGAGAGAGTGACAGTCCCTGGATAACAGCCTCCGGCTTGGGTGGGACCAAACTACTGCCGGTGGTGCCAGGGCTTGGAGCAGGAGCCTTGTTTGTGGATGGGCCATGACCTGCCCTGATTCGAGCCCTGGGATGAAAATAATCACAGCCTTAAAATCCCGTTTACGTCCACAACTGGGGGATTACCCCAGGTTTAGACAGCAGAGAGAAACAGGCACTTTCCAGGTCTTGATTTATCCCTATTCTTTGAAATGTCTACTTCCGTGTGGGAATTGCTGTGCCCAGAATGCCCCTGCCTGCACTGACCATGCTCCTCAGCTATGAAGGGCCGGAGCCTACCCCTCAATGAACACAACGGACATGTCTACACTTGGCCAAAGAAATCCCCCTCCCAAGGCCCACCCTGGCCCCGCCTGCCCAGCTTCCCAGTAACGCGCTCCTCTTGGATGACACCTACGCGTCTGGAGTGCAGCCACGTGCTTCCCCTGCGCTCCAGGCTGCGGAGCTTGCTCCAGGCACACCTCCAGCCACGCTGCAGTCAACAGCCCTGTCCGCCCAACCCCTCCTAGAAAGGCCTTTCTGGAATTCTGAGCAGGTGGCTCTTCCATAACTGAGAGCAAGGAGGCTCAGGCAAGTGGCGCCCAGGGAATGCTGCCCTGCGGCTGAGCAATGCCAGGCTCCCGCAGCAGATGCGGAACAGCATCGCAGGACTGGCCGGGGAGGAGCGGACGCCCGAGACCCAACAGGCAGAAGGAGACCGGAGACTTCCAGAGTGGCAAGGCTGGTGGCTGGGAGGCAGCTGCCCAGGGATGTGAGCCGGCTGCTGCCCCCTCCACCCGCCTCGCGCCCAGGGATTCCTCCCCTCTTGAGCGGCCCTGCAGCCGCCAGCCGTTCCCAGAGCCCCGCGGGGCCCGGAGGCCACATGTTACACACTATCTCCCGTCGGGTGTTTTCCACTGCGATCCCTCCAGAATAATGAGTCTTCAGGCAGAGGAAACCAGCCTGGGCACTGCCAGACCATGACGCTGCCGTCCCAAAGCCTGTTTCTGCTACAGCTCAGTCACAGCAACCAGCGTGACGACTGCGACTGGTGACCCCGGGCGCTCCCGCACACCCCCACAGATGGGCACCAACTCAGACCGATGTACCTGCTGCCCAGGCTGGGAACCGCTGCCCTAGGAAGAGCAGTTCAGAGTCACAAGCAGGTGGGTAAGAGCTGGAACTGCAGAGGCCACTGTTACTGCCATTACCAAAGCCGTGAGGGCGATAAGGTGAGAACACATCGCAGCGACCCAAAGCGACCTACGCTTCGCCCTCTTTTGACAGTCGTGCCTCACAGCTGCTGCACACGAAGTCTCGACCTGAATTTGAGAAACATGGCTTTAGCCGTTCAGCTCAGAAACCGAGACTCGAAACACGCGTGCTGAGCCCCAGAGAGAAGCCAAGTTTCGTGCCTGCGGTTTGTGCGGAGCGTTGGGCCCCCTCTGCCCTTCCCCAGTGCCAGCGGCAGGCGGGGACCCTGGGGACCGTCCGACCCCGGGCGAAGGACTTTGCCGCCCAACAAACGTCTTCCTGCGGGTTTACGCATGCAAGGCTGAGCCCTCAGTCGCTCTTCAACACGGCCAAATTCCAGCGGGTTCCCAAGGGTGGTTCTACCCACATTAAGCAGCCACGACAAACCATCCCCTCCGAGAGGCCAGCCTGCTGTGCCAACGCTGACTGCAGCGGGCTCCGGTCACCCTCACTGCAGCTCCCGTCCATAAAATAGGTTTCTTCATGGAGCTGGTTTTTCCCAATTCTTTTCCTTCCACATGTGTCACTGGAAGAGGCTCTGAGGCACAACCCTCCACGTCTCATCAGAGACCTGCAGAGTGACAAACAGAACGGAACCCAGATCCTGGCTGGGCTGACGCCCGTTATGCTGGCACGGAGAGAGTAGCAGCTTGGCTCCACGGCAGACATGGAGCTGCAAAGCTCTGCCCAGGACGGGGTAACAGCGTGAACACTCGGTGCGGTCGCAGGAACTTAAGTAGGACACAAAAAGAAACTCCCCACAATGTGAACACGGAACAGGTCGCCTGAGGAGGCTGTGCAACCGCCACCCTTCGAGATTTCCAAAATGCAGCGAGGCTTTGACAACCCTGTTCCGAGCAGGAGGTTGCACTGGGTGACTCCCAGTTTCCTCCTACCTAAACTTTTCCATGATCCAGTTGAACAGACTCAGAAAAACCAGGAAAAGGCCACTGCAGCAGGATATTGTGGACAGTGAAGTGCTGGACCTCTCTCCTGGGAATGGCCAGACGTGCCATCCGTTTCTCCTTACACACATCACCCTTTGATGGACTCTGGGAATGTCTACACTTCCAAGGGATCTTTAACAGATTTTCTGTAACTATTCCAATCGGACGCTCCGTTATCCCACAGGTTTAGCTTCTGACTGAGTTCCAACAGGAGACTCAGTACATCAGCACCCCCCAAATCTCTTACTGTCTTTTTTAATCATTCCAGTACAAAGTTCCAAAACCAGTGTTTATCTACCCAGAAGCTGTTATTCCCCTCATTAAAGGCTTCCAGAAGCTGGAGCTGCCAAGAGCCACCGAATTTTCTCCACCCCTTCTCCACACATGCTGCTGCCTGGCTACTTATTCTGAGGAGCTTTTTCTGACCCGCTTGAAAACATCCCCGTTAACAGGGCTTTGACTGGAACTCCCATTCCACTGTTTAACACCAGGATTAATCCTCCCCAGCTCAATCTACAGCTTTTTTGTGACGTACCTTCATGGGCCTCTTCAGCGCTTCCTGGATGTCCACACGCTTCCGCATAATGGTCTGGTCTAGTTTGCGTTCAAAGGCCAAGAGATCCATGTAGGCCTGGGACTCAGGAACCAGCTCCCGGATCTGAGAAGGAAGCAAGGAATAGCCAAGCACTGGAAGCAAGAGTTGGCTGTGCTCCAGGGCACTGACATGGCCACCTCCCCAGCCCTGGGACACGGCCACCTCCCCAGCCCTGGGACAGCCGTGCTTATCCCTAAGCCAGCAGGGCAATCCCGTGGCATGAGCTGGAGCCCAGAGCTGGGGCCAGCGAGCTCAGGGAGACACGAGCCAGACCCCCAGGCCGCAATCCCGGCTGCTTTGTTCCCGGTGAGACGTGCTGCAAGCAGCCCAGGAGCCTGCTCCCGGCACAGCAAGCCACGGCAAAGCTGTCCTGCTTCAGCTACGGAGTGCCGGGTCTCTGCAGGCTGAAAACAGCAGGTGTGTGTTGGTGCCGATTTTCTACAGCCAAGTGTTCCCTGCCCTACGGAAAAGCTGCCTGTCAGGTGGTGACAGACACACAGATTCACGGAATGGCAGGGGCTGGAAGTCAACCCTGGACCAAACCTCATCGCGGCTGAGGCAGAACGGACCTTCCCCTTCGAGTGCCACGTGACCCATCTGAGCTGCCACAGTCCTGCCAACCTCCGCGGGTATTTCAGCGCATCCGCTGAACCCCAGCCGTCCTGGCCACAGCCCCTTGCATCTCCCCCGCCCCGGGGAAGGTAGCGGAGGGGGCGGGAGGACGTTGGCTGGGAGGAGACCCAACGATCTGAGCTCAGAACCGGGCTGGTACACCCTTACAGGGAGGGGGGCTCGTGGTCGGGAGTGAC